TCACGTGAACATTCCAGAACACAAGAGAGGTGAATGCAAATTTGTGGTGTCGTGAAGAAGGGAGGTCAATGATATGACTCAGCAGACAGGACTTGCCTGTCAACAGCCACATCCGTGCTCTCCAGATTTATCCAGCAACCCGGCAAGCAGCACCTACACGCGGCCAGACATGTCTGCAAGTACCTACGGGGCACGGCGGCTCTGGCAATCAAGTACAGTGCGGGTGATTCGCTTCAACTCCTTGGCTACACAGACGCAAGTCACATGTCTGACCCCTACACGTCGAAGGGGCATGGAGGCCACCTGTTCAGCATCGCCGGTGGCCCTGTGACATGGCTGTCCAAGAGGCTGCCTCTCGTCACAACATCATCGGCGGAGACAGAGTACGTCGCCGCTGCGCGCGCAGCACAGGCTGCGGTGTACCTGCGACAGCTCCTCCAGGAGCTGGGCTTCGACGTCGGCACCACACCACTCCACATGGACAGCCAGTCTGCCATGTGCATTGCTACCAATCCCGTGGCCAAGGGCGGCTCCAAACACATACGGCTGCGTTATCACCTTCTGCGCGAGTTCATTGGCGAAGGCGTCGTCAAGGCAGTGTATGAACCCGGCACAAAGCTGCTTGCAGACATGCTGACGAAGGCCCTGCCTCGTCCATCTCTGACGCAGTGCCGAGAGCAAGTGCTGCATGCGAGTTGAGGGGGTGTGTGGAGAGACGAGTCCGTGTCATGTGCATGTGGATGTGTTTGCTTATGTCCGGAAAGCTGGAGACAGCATGAATAGTTCTGCAATCCAACCGGTTCTGCTGTGGTTGTTACACTTCCGTTTTCTTGGTTCAAGCTGTGTGTTGCTTCCACACAAAGTGCGGTATTGCATATGTTTGCGTGTTGTTCTTCGTCCAATCTCTTTGTTGTTTCTGCCACAATGCGGGAGTGCTTCACTTGTGTTCATTCATCCTTATTCCCGTCTGTCTTCCACATCACACAGTAAACCCACACAAACACACGCAGACAAGTGAGCATACCACTACGCTAACGCACGCACACACAAACACACGCACATCCTCTGCTTGTCTTCGACATGTCACACACTTACTCCCTATGAATAGGTTCTTGGCCGTTTTGTAGCACAGACAATCTGCAGCGTAAAACCCTCCAAACACACACGGATACGCACCGCAGTCGGTTATTCTGTTCTTCTGTTCTCGTTTTATGCCGCAGTAGCAGTCGCAACAACACCAACAACAACAACAACAACAACAACAACAACAACAACAACAACAACAGCAACAACAACAACAACAACAACAGCAACAACAACAACAACAACAACAACAACAACAACAACAACAACAATGACGTCAATGACAGGACGACCCAATGGTGTCAATGGCCGTCGCAGATCGCCCCACAAGCGTGACACGTGGCCATACTTTCCCGCTTGATGTGGTGCATCCCAAGGCTTGAAAGGATTCGAGGTTAGGTGGAAGTCCACGCAACTCATCAAACGTGCAATGCACGAGCTGGAGATGGCGCACGCCGGAGAACACAGCAAAGTCCGGAATCGTGTGGTGATAGACGCGACACCGGTGCACGCGCTCTGTGCCTCGGACTTGAAGCGGTTGGCCGTGGCCCATGAGCACGGCGTGCTGCACATCTTTCAGCTGCTCAAGGAGCACGGCACCATGCCTGCACTCAAGGCGGTGGACGTGCTGCACCAAAGACACGTTGCCCTTGCAGTCAAGGAGACGAACCGATGGGAAGCTGCAAAGCTCGGCACCGTTGAGGCAGCCGCCAGAGAGTACCAGGTCGTGTGGCCCTGCTACATTCACCTTCGTGATGGCAGCGCACTGGACTGGGATCGAGCCTTGGGTGTCACGCCGGTTTGGAGACGCGGTGCTGATGACTTGGACGCAGGGAACTTGAGCAAGCACACTCACGTCAGCCAGGCCGATGTTGTGGAGCACAACCTGCTGTGCTTGCGCAAGAGCCGAGACATCCGTGACACTCGGCAGGTCCACCAGCTGAACATACGGCACGCCTGTGAGCGCCGTTATGTCGTGCAAACTCCAGCACTGCGCGAGCCGCACGCTTCGCACGTCCTGCAACCGCGCGCGGAACGCGTTCTGCTGCTGTTGCTGCTGCTGCGTTGGGTTGGGCGGGCGGCTGTGCTCACCATTGTCGAAGTGTCCGTCCTCATCTCCTCGGGTGCTCCAAGACAAGTGGTCGACCTCGTGCAAGATGAGGTTAGCAACCGCATCGCAGGAAGACACCGCCACACGCAGATGACGGATGTTGCTGAGCTCAAGGCAGCCAACGCGGCCTGAGATGATGATGTCGACGTGGTCGCCCCTCATCGGCTGCATGGCAGAACAAACGGCGTCAAGCTGTTCGAGGTCTTGCTGCTCCTCGATGCAGAGTGTGGCGCTGAAGTGGGCTGGATTCCACACATTGTGAGCAGTGTCGATTGCAACGGTGTTCTCAAACGGCGGACTGGTGCTGGCCGTGCTGCCGAGGCTGCTCTCCTCCTCGCTGGGTTGCTCAACGCCATTGGCATCTCCTGGCACAATGATTTGCGGCGTGATCCAGGCACGCATGTCGGTGAGGCTGGGGAAGTACACGTGTGCTACTTCGCTCAAGCGCGCGCACATGCTCTCAGAGATGATGGGCGACTGGAAGAACCGGCACGTGCTGTGCCAGGTTGCACCAAGCCACGAATGCACGAGAAAGCGAGTCTCAAGCCACCGTGTGAGGACACGCTGGTCAGTGATGCTCGTGTCTGCATGAATAGGCCCAAGCACGTGAGCTTGAAACGTGTCCACCCAGTGCACGATGCCATGGACGCCGGGTCGCTGCGTGTAGGTGGCCCTCAGGCAGTCTGCGGGCAGCTTCCAAGGGAGGCCATGATACAGCGTCGTGCATGCATGCATGAGCTGGAACAGCGCCCGAATGCTCTCGTTGCAGTTTGCTCGCTCGAAGACGTCTATGCTGGCGCTGCCCGTGGTGCGCGTGCCCTCCTCGATCAACCACTGCGCAATCGGGACCCACTCCTCCACACCTGGCGTGCTCCTAGTGTCCGCGTTCATTGCGGATGCTTGTATGTTCTGCTTTTTGAACCTGCAGAGAGTCGTGGGCTGAGTGTACCGTGTTCGTGCAAGTGGCCGATGGTGTGGGATGTGAGGCGAATGAGGGCTTGTTTGGAAGTTGTTTTAAACTACACCAATGCACCGGTTTGGTGAGGGATTGTGTCGGAGAGGCAAGGCAGGCTTGCACACACAGGTTAAACGATCAGTCAGCGGCATGTACATCGAAGCGGGGCGCGCCAACGAATGGTGAGGGTGTTGTGACGGTGTGCGAGAACGTCCGTGTGTCTTTTGTGTTGGGAAAGGTGGTTCGGAGTTGTAAGGATCACATCAACGCACAACGGTTGACTGCAAGTGACTAGAGTTTTGGGGGATGGGGCGGTTTATGAACTTGACGTGAATGCATGCATGCATCTACAGCATGTGAAGTTCCGAAGCAACCAATCCATCACAAGGACAGCAAATGACCCCAACACAACGAGGACAGAGACAGAGAGACAGAGAGAGAGAGAGCATGTGTGTGTTGTGTGTATGTGTGTGTTCAGCTGGTGAGGGAAAGTCACACACATGAACACACAACACAACCCAGTTCAAGGGGGTGACATGTCAATGTTCAGCACGACATGAGCACACACACACACACACACACACACACACACACACACACACACACACACACACACACACACACACACACACACACACACACACACAGGCACACGCACAAGCACACACGCGCGCAGGGTCGCACTACAGGTCCACGGGATGCTTGTCCACGGCAACTGATGCCAGGGTAGAGACGGCAACGAGGCCAAGGTTGGCATAGTAGAGGTCCACGCCAACATGGTAGTGCAGCATGACGCCCGTCCAAACGGAGGCGAAGATGCTGGCAAGGCCAACGGTGATGGTCAGCCAGGAGAAGGCGCGCGTCTTCATGTTTGGGTTGTTGCGGGTGACCATGCCAATGCGCTTCATGACCATGGTCCCGGTGAGGGAGTTGCCAAAGCCAGACAGCAAGCAGCCAACGATGACGCGTGGCAGGTTCGGGGAGCCGCCAGCGGTCCAGTCAGCAAGCAGCGCGGAGCCACCAGCGCTGCAAGCGAATGCAATCGCAAAGTTGGCGTGAAAGGGAACGTGTTCAAGCAAGATGCCGTTGGTGAGGCCGCTCAAGGCGAAGGCAGCACCGATGACAGCCTGCACGTAGCCTGCCTTGGTGTCGTGCCAGTCGAAGATGTCTCCGATTCGCGGCGCAGCAGCAGCAACAAATGCAGTGAAGACGATGGTGATGAGGGCGTTGATGAGGTACAGGTAGATGAGCTGTCGAGAAAAGGGCGTGCGCGTGGGAAGCAAAGGCGTTGAGCTCTCGACCGGTGTGGTTGTTGGGGGACCGCCTTGTCGTTGATGTTGTGGCTGCTGTGGCTGCTGGTGGGCTGTTGGCGTTCTGAAGAAGATAATGAGGGAGAGAATGCAGAGAAGGAGGGCGCCGGATCCGCAGACGATGCCAACCAAGATGTAGTCGTGGATGCCGTGCACGGTTGCGAGCGCAGCGCCAACGGCCGGCCCACTGGCGTAGCCAATGCCCATACACACGGTGAAGCCAGTCATGTTGAAGGTGATTGCCTGTGGGGATCCCTGGGCAAGTGCCTTTCGACAAAACACCGCCGTTGAGGCCGTGAAGCCGCCAAGGGTGCGGAGGACGAGGATGGCCCAGGGGTTGCGGACAAACCCGTAGGCGAACATCGGCAGGCTGAAGGCGACAAGGAGCGCCATGAAAGGTCCGAGCCGTGGCTGCCAGCGGCTCACAATCTGCGGGATGAGGAGCGCACCAAAGGCAGTGGCCAAGGGACACACGCCCGTGATGATGCCATACACGAGGTCGGCCTTTTCTGTGTGGATGTCGTCCAGGTATGGGCGGAGGCCTGGCAGGACAACGGTGAAATTGAACGTGGCAAACCAAGCAACAAGCCAGCACACAAGCACCTCCAACTTGCGCCAGCTGCGCCGCTCCTCGCCTTCCTCGCGGACCCGAGAGTCGTCGCGCTGCTGCACCAACAGTGATGTGCGCTCGTCTTCGTCATGATGATCGTGGCCGTATTCACGCCGGGGCATGGCTGGCTGTGTGCAACGGGGAGCAAGCAAAGGTCTAAAGGTGAAGGTGGCGTGAGGGGGCGGGCAGAAGGGAAGGGTTGTCCCGTTGATTTGCTCGTTGCTGTGCTGCGAGACAGTGACGTGAGGCTCTGTTGTGGAAGGCTGGAAGGTAGGAAAGTGTCTTGTTTGCTTGTTGGTGATGTGATGTGTGACACAGCACATCGACCACAACAGTCTTGTCCGATTTTTTCTTGGAGGGAAGTGCGAAAGTCGTGGATACTGCCAACAACTTTTCGCAGCGAAATTGGAGGACGATCGTGGGCGTTGTGTGTGCAGTGTGTGTGTGTGTGTGTGTGTGTGCAGTGTGTGTGTGTGTGTGTGTGTGTGTGTGTGTGTGTGTGTGTGTGTGTGTGTGTGTGTGTGTGTGTGTGTGTGTGCAGTGTGTGTGTGTGTGTGTGTGCAGTGTTTGTGTTTGTGTTTGTGTGTGCAGTGTTTGTGTGCAGTGTTTGTGTGCGTGTGTGCAGCGTGCAGTGTGCGTGTGTGCAGTGTGTGTGTGCAGTGTGTGTTGTGTGTGCTCTCCCTTCCTTCACGCCCTCCCTCCCACCGGCAGCACTATCGCCAGACAGATGAAAGAAGGAATGTGATGTAAGGATGTAACTTTCGAGCAAGAGTAACAAGCGGTGGCCTCGATCGAACGCGCAGGCAGCGGCTTGGCGACAACGAACGAACAAAGGAACAGCAGCAACAACAGCCCCAGCACGGATGAGAAAAACGGGCGAGCAATGACAAGGCAGAGGGCAGCGGGGCGAAGGGCAACACTGCAGGAGCGCGACCAGAAAGCTGGAGCAGGAGGGCAGGAGGTGAGGCTGCTCATGACAACAGAGGCCTTGATGTCACATGCAAGCGTTGTAGTAACGCAACAGGCCACGGAAAAGAGGCAACAAACGTGGAGCACGTACAAGACGCACAGACAAATTCGGGTTGGCTGACAGCACACACACACACACACACACACACAAGACAGGCAGACAGACAGACGGGCAGGTAGGCAGGTAGGCACAGACACACACGCACAGGCACAGACACAGGCACAGACACACACGCACAAGTACACACACGCACACACACACAGACACACACAGACACACACACACAGAGACACACAGACACACAGACACACACGCACACACACAACCCATACCCTGTGCATCAGCCTCAACAACCTGGGTCGATGACGAGAACGGAGGTGGCAGAGCTGGGGATGGCGTAGATGAGCCCATTGTCGGCAAGCACGGCACCTGACCACTTGCTCTCGCCACCAGCAACGGTCATGGTGGCCGTGCCATTGGTCGCTGTGTCGATGATGAGGAGGGAGCTGTCAGAGTAGGGCATGGCAAAGATGCGCCCAGTCGCTGCATGGAAGACACCTCCCGCCCACTTGTTCTGTCCAATGAAGCTGCCGATGCTCGCATAGTCGGTCGTGTTCAGGGCTGGGTTGATGACGAGCACAAACGCGTGGTCATACGGGATGCCGAAGATCAGGCCATTGCCAGCAAGCACGCCGTCTCGCCACTGGTGCGTGTCGCCCGACACGGTCAGCGTCGTCGCGTCCGTGCTGTTGGCCTCCGGGTCAATCACGAGGACGGCATCAGCATTGGACGGGATGCAGTACAGCTTGCCGTTGTCTGCAAGCACACCACTGATCCACTTCTCGCCCTGTGAAGAAAGGCCGCTCATGGCCGTCGTGTCCGTGTCGTTGGACACGGGGTCCAAGATGAGCACAGAGGTGGCTGCAAAGGGCACGCCGTACATCTTGCCATTTCGCGCCACGACGCCGCTCACCCACAAGCCATCCGACGTATTGTCTCGGAAGGAGAACTGGCCCGTTTCTGTGGCGTTGGTCCTCGGATTGAGCCGGAAAGGGAACTCCCGGTGCGTGCCGGGGAAGGCAAGCACGCGGCCGTCAGAGCCAACCAGGCTGTTCGCATACAGCAAGTCCAAGGGCTCCCTGTCAAACGTGAAGCTGGTCGTGTCCACGGCGTGAGTCACGGTGTCCACGACAAGCGCGCGGTCGAAGTTGAAGGGCGCGGCAAAGATGCGACCGTTGTCCAGCAACACGCCGCCCACCCATCGCAGCAAGCCCATACCCAGCCCAGCAATGTTGATCATGTCTAAGCTTGGGGCCAGCGCCTCCGAGCCCGATGCACGTGCCGCTGCACACACGCGGCCTTGCAGTGCTCGCAGCTTGGCCTGCTGCTCGGCATTCACGCGCTCCTGCGCTGAGATGGTGCGCTGCTGTGCTGCGATTACGGCATGCTGTGCCTGCGCCAAGTTGTACAGCTCGCTCGTGTTTGCGCCGTTGATCATCACGGTGCCCTGCTCCGGGTTGCTGGTGTTGATGTGCACCGCCCCAGTCTTGGACTCCTGCACAAGCACAACCTCGCCGCGTACATCCTCAACGCTCACCACCGCCACCCCTGCGATTACCACCAGCACCACGCACACAGTCCCCCACGCAGCGCGCCGCTCGCCACGCATCGCCGTTGTTGTGTGCGTGGGGTTGTCGAAAATTGCATGCAATAATCCTCCTCGTGTGTGTGTGTGTGTGTGTGTGTGTGTGTGTGTGTGTGTGTGTGTGTGTGTGTGTGTGTGTGTGTGTGTGTGTGTGTGTGTGTGTGTGTATGTGTGTGTGATCCCTGCCTGACCGAGTGTGTCTCTGTCCCTGCCTGTCTGTGTGCTCGTTCACATATGGACACAAACAAATTTGCTTGCTTGCTGGTTCTCATCGCAATATTTGTGATGTTCCTTGTGCTGATCCATGTTCGTTGTGCTGTTCATTCGCAGCACCGGCATCATCCTCTCCTCCTCCCGGTTCTCCATCCACATTAACGCCTCCCCTCTCCTGCTTCATCGCTTGCCGCCCTCACGCTCTTCAAGAACGACATCAAGTTTGTTCCACCGGTCCCCTTTTCCGCCAGCGACGTCGTGCTCGCAAGCTCCCTGTTCGCACGAGAGCGGCGTGGTCAGCGGTTGATCGTGCGAATGAACGAGCACACAGACAGACACACAGACACAGACACACACACACACACACAGGCACACAGGCACACAGGCACACAGACACACACCACACACACACACACACAGACACGCAGACACACACACACACAGACACACACACACACGCACA